GACCCAACTTCACGACAAAGGAGTCATCTGTGACACATCAACACAAAAGTCTTCAGGTCAAGTTTCACCTTAAAAACAAAGTATCTTGAGCTAGAAGGCGATCCATGAGTCACTTGCCAAAAGCTTTAAGTTCGATTTCAACTTCACAACGAAGGATATCGTGCTCAGAAGTTTCCAGTTCAACTCGACCTCACGATGAGGGAGTCATTTCATATTTCAGTTCAAATTGACAAACCAGCCTTAACATCGGATTTCAACTCTACAACAGAGGGCATTCGATATGGACAAAATTCGTGTCTTTTAATCTTTGCTCTATTTTCGTTACACGAAAACGAGCAAAGAGGGGCAGCTGTAGACACATCATTTCTGGTTCGAGACCAACAAATCAGGGATAAGGCCCAAACAACCAAAACCCAAGTGGCCCAAGACTCGTTCTAAGATCAGGGTTTCTAGGAAACCCTGTTGCGCCGCTCTCCATCCATCAGTTCACCCCAACGCCGTTCCAGCCCCACAGCCACGTTCTCCTCCGGATTTCTCGGCACCAATGTCAAACATGCAACAACCATTAGACTTTAGGAAGAAAATGGAGACTAAAAACAGTATTTTATTTTCCTATAAATAAATGTAACGTTTATGGACATGGGAACGGAAGGATTACGTGCAAAATACCAGAAAAATATTATACAAAGTTGAAATCTTTTGTAACTCGTTTTGCAGTGAAATAATAGGTAAAAATCTTACCTTGCTTTCGGTTCGTTCTTTATCTTGCATGCATGTCGTTTATACTCCATTTTGGTTGATTCGAAACAAGAAGCCAATGACAGAGGAGGGAGGATTTTTCGAACATTCGTTCGTAGATCTACTCTCTTCGAGGCTTGATCTAAGAAAACTATTTAGATTTTTGGAACGAGTTTACGAAGGGCTTTTAAAAAAATAGAAACTTTTTATATTTTGTCGTCGGTGAGCGGCGGTTGGCGCCGTTCAACGGCGGCTGGCAAGGCGGCGCAACGGCCGGAATCTGAAAAATGGGGTGGTTGTTCTTCAGCTTGAAGAACAAACCAGAGAAAATAACAAATGGGGGAAGATGTTTCTGTTTGGAAATGAGAGAACAAATGAAGTTTAATATTTTTAACTTAAATACTCGGCCCATTAACCCGATTTAGATCCGCGCGTCAACCCGACCCATTCTGCAAGATCCGCGTGTTTTCGTTAAAAAAAGGGAAACTACACTTTTAATCCTCTTGAATTTTTTAAGGCTCAATATGGTCCCTAACTCCGATTTTAAACTCAATTTTATTTCGAATTTAACTTTCTAATATGACTTTCTTTAAATTTAGCCCCTTATATATATATATATATATATATATATTTCGCAATTATTTTTTATTTTATTTAATATATATATATTGTTATTTATTATTTCTTTTTTTTTTCGTTATCATTATTGTTTTCATGTATATAAATAATATATATATATATATATTTATTTTCTATATATTTATTTAATTTCGTTTTTATTCATTATTATTATATTATATTATTATTATTTTTAAATCTTTTGTCTTTATTATTATTATATATATTATTTTATTATTATTATTATATTACCTATACAAACCTACCTAGCCCCACATTGTCTTCATTCACTAAATTTTTCCTCCCCCAATTTCGTTGAAATGATAGGAGAGTTGTTTAATATTATTATATATATATATATTTAAACATTACTATATATATATATTATTTATAACTATTATTTTTGTAAATCTTTACTTATGTATATATATACATATTTTTATATAATTAATATACATATATATATATATATATATATATATATATATTTCTATTTATTTTCTATATTTTTATTTAATTTCGTTTTTATTCATTATTATTATATTATATTATATTATTTTTATTTTTTTAAATCTTTTGTCTTTATTATTATTATATATATTATTTTATTATTATTATATTACCTATACAAACCTACTTAGCCCCACATTTGTCTTCATTCACTAAATGTTTCCTCCTCCAATTTCGTTGAAATGATAGGAGAGTTTATTAATATTAATATTAGTATATATATATTATTAATATGATGTTTTTTATCTATCTATTTATTTATTTATTTATTTATTGTGTATATGTTATTCTTACTATTATTATCTTATATTTAATTTACTTCATTTTTTATTTTGTTTATTATATTTTATTCACGTTATTTATTTATCTTTTTTTATTTTTTTGTTTACTTTATTTATTTTATTTTATTTTATTTTCTATGTTTCTTTATTTACATGTTTATTTTAATTACCTTTTATCTTTACTTTTTCATTCCTTTATTCTTTTTATTTTACTTTCTTTATTTTATTCATTTATTTTTATTTGTACTTTTATATCTAACACATTTCTTTACTTTTTAAGGATATCTTCAAATCAATCTAAGGTAAGCAATTTTGGATCGTTATTTTATCTTTTAATTTAAACTTTCAATTTTCTTAATTAAAGACAACTGGAAATTACATAGTACCGAAAGGGCAGTTCAAGGGTGTTAACCCTTCCTTGATTGTAATCGACTCCCGAATCCGACACATCTTTGGTAAGACGCAGATCAGATAAGAAATAAGGTATTCGATCTACCCATTTGTTTTAAAATAAAAGATCGGTGGCGACTCCAATCCATTTTTCCTAAGTCGAAGCCCAATTCCGGGATCCAACCGAAAGACGGATCCGACAAATATCTTCAGCGCTAGTCATGGTGAACAAGTTTCGATGACGGCTAGATAAAGAAACACTTCCGATCGATGACCTCAAGGCGTCGCTGCAAATAGAGAGGCCGAGTGAAGGAGGAGCGAGACTTGAAAATCAAGCAATATCGACGACCAACAATGTTTCGGGGTAGTTTGGGAACTCGAATAGAGGAAACTTTAACGAAAGCTAGTTTAAAGACCGAGAAGCATTTCATGCGTTCCCTGTCTTTTTTTTTTTTTTACTCTGCTTCAGTGATTGGTACCGAGTGCGACACTGAGTTCAACAATCGAAATAATTTGGGAGAATCTTATTTCCCGTTCCGTTCATCCTAATACAGTTCGATAATATTTGGGTCTAATGGCCCTATAATTTCCAGGCTCTACTATAGTATTCAGTTACGTACTTCTTTTGAGCCCACACAAATTCTTATATGCACTTCATCTACATGATATAGTATTGTTTATCTTATGTGTTCAGTTAATAAATTATTTACAATTATAATATATGATTAAATAAAATTAATATAAATAATTTTAAAAAATTATAATTAATTAAAATTAACATGAATAAAATAGCAATTCCACTCCTTTTAAAAGGTTTAGGGTTAAATTCGACTCTTTGAAAGGTTGAGGATCAAATTTAGTTAAAAATAAAGATCAAATTGAAAAATAGTGTAAAACTTGAGGGTCAATTTGTTTTAATCCATTTCTATATTCCATTTCCATCTTATCTAGAACAATGGGTAAATATATATTGATACTTGAACTTAGTTTCAATGTTAGTTTGGTACTTGGCTTTTTTTCATCCAATTAGGTACATGAACTCGGCTCAAAAATTCAATTTGGTACCTATATTTTTTTATCAAATTAGTTCTTGAACTTTTGATTTAAATTGGTACTTGAACTTTATTTTTTTATTCAAATTGATACTTGCGATTTAACCAATTTAAATTAAGAAAAGTTCATGTAACAAATTTAAACCAAAAGACCACGTTCAAGTACTAAATTAGACAAACAAAAAGTTCAGGTACCAAATTGAACTTAAAGACAAGTTCAAGCACCTAATTAGACATAAAAGAAACTTGAGTGCCAAATTGAACCTTGAAGCCAATTTCAAGTATCAAAAAACATATTAACCCATCAACAATAACTGAAATGAAAACTCAACTGTTCAAAATTTTATGACAAAAAAGGTGAAAAAGCATAACCTCGTGATTTCCATTTCGTTTCCATGACTAGATTGCCAAGTTACTTGTAATCCAAGCCACATCTTTATCTTGTGCATGCAATAATTTAAGTTTGTGATTGATTGAATCTTGCCCTAGAATGGGTCCTGGTCAGTTCTTGCATTAGAGCATCTCCAAGGTTGCTCTACTGTAGCGCATTTCTGGACTGTGGAGTGCTCCAGTCCTGCGCTGGATCCATCTCTACTTTAAAGATCGTTACAGTATCACGTTACATCTAACGTGTTAATAGTAATACTATAATATTTTTTTTATGATTTTTTAGTTTTAGTTTTTATTTTATTTTGTTATATTAAACATAATATAATATATTCAAATAGATTAAATTATAAAATAGATAAAAATACATTAAAATTAGATGAATAAATATATTAATTTTGCTCTACGAAATATATTAATTGAACATTTGTGGATTGAATATTCTAATTCAGAAAATTAAAATAAATAATTATGCAACTTATGTGTCTCGTATTATTATTATTAATTGTAATTTTTTTATTTATTTATATTTTCGTAATGATATTTATGAATATTTTATTAATACTTTTTATCTTGATATTTATTAAAAATAAATATGTTTTATTTTATATTTGTAAAATTAATATTATTATAGTTAAATATTGTGAATAAAGTAGAGTTGGTGGTAATGTAAATATAGCACTAGAGATGAATTATTATTTCATATTTAGAGTAGAGATAAAAATTATGTAGAGTAGAGATGAGGACCGGAGATGATTTTAATCAATCAAACCCTTAAAAACCACACGTCACGTCGGATAAAATCACATTACAATACACACAGTATCTTAGGAGTATACATATCAATCACCGCTACCGCAGGGCCATGACGTTCAATGCAGCATTGTTTTTTGCTGCTAACAAAACACAGTTGGCAACATAAAACCTTGCCAGCAAGAGCTTTCCCATTTCTACAAAAATAAAATATATGATGCTATATGTTATAAAATGATACATACAATGCTACGAAAGTTTTTTTTGTGTGTTCTTCAGGAGATCCAAAGCTCTGCGCTTTTAACTTTTAAGACGCTCTTGAGCACTTCAAAAGGGAGTATATCACCAATAACAACTACCCTTTTGCTTTCCAGGTCTACCTTGTATGAGGTCACTCCTATTTTTTTTCATGGGACAGCTAAGAATTACATTACTATCATAAAAAAAAATGAACAGACAAATCTGAAAAGAATCAACCCAATATAGAATTCATTGCAAGACAAGCTATAGTGCAAAACAGTCACATTGCATTATAATATGTTGGCTCCCTATGTGATGAGTGATGTATTTTGGTCAATATATTGCTTTTACCTTTTGGTCTTGTTAGGTTTAATGAAGTCTGACATTGTTAAAAATCTAACATAAACTCTATGGGATTGTCTCAGGAAAGGCGGGTTAATATACAGTTAATATACAGCATTACCGGATACATTAAAATGTATTTAATAAATTCGGTTTAGCGGTACCTATTATGTTGACAACTAATAATGTTTTAGGTAGAAAATATGAAAAACTATTAAAAAATTTGGTAACCGGTAAACTTTGGTTATCGGTAAGTATCTATCATTTTTATAAAAGTGTCCATACGTTTAACATATCAAGTAAATTTTACCGGTTTTGTCATAATGAATATGGTTTTGTCATATTTTTACCTGTTATATTGTAAATTATCTATCCTTTTTATAAAAGTGTCCATACTTATTTCACTGTGAAAATATATTTATTATTATCTTTAGTTAATATTGTTAAATTTAAAATCTAAATAATATTTTATAAAATATCAAAACAATCAAATAATTTTTTGTGTAAATGAAATTATTAAATTAATATTGTAGGTGGAAAACATGAAACACTATTAAAAAAATTGAAACATAAATTACATAACTTTCAAAAAAGTATATATCATTTTTATAAAAGTGTCCATACTTATTTCACTGTTGAAAACATATTTATTATTATATTTGGTTAATATTGTTAAATTTAAATTCTAAATAATATTTTATAAATATCAAAACAATCAAATAAAATTTTGTGTAAATTAAATTATTAATTAATATTGTAGGTGGAAAACATGAAACACTATTAAATAAATTGAAACATAAATTACATAACTTTAAAAGCAGTTTTAAATCCTAAAAAGTGTCGATACTTTTAAAAAATATATCGATCCAAACGATATACCAGGTAAAAATATGATAAAACCGGTAACAAAATGATAAAACCGGCAAATTTAAAAGTCGATACGTTATATAAGGATCGACACTTTGTGAATTTAAAAGAGAAGCAGTTATAGCGCCTATAATGTGTCGATACTTTAAAAAAATATATCGATCCACAACGATATAACAGGTAAAAATATGATAAACCGGTATCAAAATGATAAAACCGGTAAAATGATACCGGATATATTGAAAGTGTCGATACTTTCGTAAGTACGTGTAATAAATTATCGACACTTTCAAAGAAATAGGTAATTATCCTTTCGAAAGTATCGACACCTGACATAAAGTATCGACACTTTTGTATTTGTATCGATTAAATATAAATAACATATCCGATGAAAATATAAAGGCCATAGCTAAATATCCTCTGGAAAAAGATAGAACGGACGAGTTTTTGAAATCGAAGAGTAATTGTTGCTGCATTTCAGAAGGCGTTTCTAAAGCGAAGTTTGTTTGTTTGTTGCTGCAGTCGAATCGAAAAGTATGTTGTCGAAACCCTAATTTTTTATTATTACAGTAATCGCGATAGGGTTTTTATGTGTTGTTTGGGGTTTTTGGAGTAAGGAAGCATTTGGGACCGATTGCAGGTAGAAATAGATATTCAAGGAAAAATATAAATGTCGATACTTTTATTAAATATTATAGGTAGAAAATGATATTATAGGTTGTATAAATGTGCCGACACATTTTGGTGTGGCCATTCAAATTCTTTTGAAGAAAACCGTTTTACCACAAGAGTAGTTATCTATATTTGTATATTGAAAAGTGTATGTAACAAAATAATTTGATTTGCGTAAACTGATATATGAAGGAAAATGGAGTCAATGGTTGGAAAATTGTTGGTGGAGCAGATGACTTTGAAATTGAGGCCGAGACTCGAAAGCAACCAAAGGGTGGATATATGTATTCTAGTAAGTATCAATGTCTTTTTGTTATTATTGTTGAAATGGTAATTGGATTAAAGTATCGATAAACTTTAAATTGATTACAAATTTTAAATGTTAACAGTATGGCCGAATGCAAAAGGATGAAGGGAGATGGCACACAGAGCGGTTCGGTATGTAAAATGAAATTGACATTGAGTAGTATTAGTATTTAGTGTTAATGTATTGATTAAGAAACGTTTATGTTTAATATTAGGTGAAAAAAGATGTGAGGTCCAAATGGAATTCAATGAGTGATGCTGAAAAGGAACCTTACATCACACAGTCAAGGAATGATAGTAAAGAATACAAAGAACGGAGGAAAGCACATGAAAATAAGGTATTCATTAAACTTGTAAATACGTTGATACAAAATATATAAGAACTATAACATTATATATTGTTAAAAAATGTAGGAAGTGTCGACAAGATGCAGCATTAAAAGGGTGAATTTATTAATTAAACACCTTAAGGAGAAGGGTCAGTTGAATGTGCTGGGAGAAATAGGTTTAGATCGTTGATCGGAGTAAGGGATCGACCTATTCGGAGGGAATTGTGTCGATCCTTGATGGCACAATTTGACGTCAGTCAATGTATGGCTAAGTATGGTGATTATTCATTCCCTCTGGGGGTATCGACTGCTGCAGCCGTATTGGGGGTACAAAACAAAGGCAAAGTGTTATAGAAGTCTGTAGGAGTAAGAACTGGAAAGCACTTACCTCCAAATATGGTTTGAATCATAAGGTGACATATACTGAAGTTGAAGAGGATATCAAAAGTGGATCTTACTTGGGGGATGAGCTGAAGGCCCGAGTTCTATTGTACCTTGTCGGTATATTTCTTTGTCCAACGGGTGATACGTCAACGAACAAGGAATATATGAAGCTCATTTGCGATGAAGGCTTGAAGGGTGAATTCAATTGGGCTGAATATATCCATTCGAGATTGATTGAATCAATTATCACCTTTAAAAAGGGCAGCCAGAGATACCTCAAAGGGTGCATAGCAATCTTAGAGGTAAATGAGTTGAATCACTTTTTTGTGTTTTTATATAAAATATAAATTTATTATAAATGCAGGTTGCACTGTTCGATTTTTGGTCGGGCTGTGAGGCAGTGCCGGCTTATGAAAGAACCGGAGTGGCACGCATCCGTGCATGGGGGAAGGAAGAGGTGGTTAGAGTGATGGTGAAGTTGAAGTTGGATAGAGGGAAGAAGCAAGAAATGGTAATAAATGTAATTAAATAATATTAAGAATATAATCAATGTCTTAATATTGTAATTTAATTTTTTGAAGGTTATTGGCAAGGATTTAGAGGGGGCAGTGGAGGCAGAGGAGAAGAAAGGAGGGATGGTTGTATTGGGGGATGAAGGTGAGTGGGACGACGGTGAAGCAAAACAGAGTAACTTCGACATTTTGATGTCTGAATTGGCTGATATCAAAAAAATCCAATTTGAAATCATGCAAAGACAATCAAGAGTCGAAGAGAAACTTGATCAAGTCGTAGAGAAACTCGAGAGGCATAAGGGGGTAGTGGAAGGAAAAATAGATGGAGTGGTGAAAGAAGTAGAGGTGTTGAGGGGTGAAGTGGTGAAAGAAGTTTCGGTGTTAAGGGGTGATATTAAGATGGTGACGGGAGAAAAATTTGAGGGAGTGGTGAAGGAGGTTGTTGATTTGAGGAGTTAACTTACGGGGGTGAAGGGGGTGGTTGATAAATACTCGGATGAAGGAGCTCAATTGAAGGGTGAAATAAAAGATATGAAGAGCTATGTAGAAAAAAAGTACGATGAACTGAAAAAATATGAAGAAGAAAAGAGGGAGGAGGAAGAAGAAGAGATGGAAGAAATGAGGAGGAAGGAAGTCGATGTCATTTATACACCGGAGAGTGTTATAGCAGCAGTTTGGATTCGGAATGTCCTGCACCCCAGAAGAAGAAGCAGAAGGTAAGTTTAATAAAAGAATACTTAATTTGATTTTTATTATGTTGTTGTGACAAAAATTTGTATGCAAAATTGTAGGTTGAAAAAGCGGACATTCCAACCGGAATTGATGACATCGAAGCTGCAATTTGTGATTATTTATGGAATAGCGAGTTAGAATCGGGGTAAGTGAAATCATACAGATATTGTTTTGTAAGTGATATTTAAATATTTCATGACAAGATATTAATCCTAATGATTCATACAGATATTCTGTAATATCAATGGGAAATCAATTCGCTACTGTATACGACGTTGCAACGTTGAAGCCTACGGAATGGGTTGGCGGTGTGGTAAGTAGAAAGTAGAAAATAAATAAAACTTATTGAATATGTTCTGATTGTGTAATTAATTTTGTTAGGTTATCGATTTGCTCGCCTGGACCATATGCTACGATTCTCAAAAGTCACACCGGAGGATTGGCTACCTTCCATACCTCTTAGTGGTGAGTTAAATTAATAAATATTGAAAAGTAGTGTTATAGACGGTAAATTAATAATGTTTGTTGCGTAATTACAGCAACAGGCGTTGGAAGCCAACAATAAAGAAAGTGTTGAGAATATTTTTACCTTCTGGGGTGTCATATTGGATAACTATGTGAAATTCACCGACTGTGAGAAGGTAAGAAACCATACCAATTGCAATGATGTTTCGGATATAGAATGTTGAATTTTGTCAAATTGGGTGTGAAATTTGTTGCAGATAATGATCACAATAAACTACCATAATTCACATTGGTATCTGTGGTGTTGGATATGGTAGATCATGTTGTAACAATATATGATAGTATGTTTACAACTGAAGCAGCTAAACAGAGAGTGAAGGATGCTAAGAGATTGGTATGTATGTATGTATGAAAGGACATTATGTAAATTATAATGCATAATTTTTTTGGTTCATAACTTCTTCTATTTTAATGCAGATTAAAATATTAGATTCTTATAATAAGAAACGCATTTGGGTTGAGTCATGTGGATCTCTAAGAAAGTATCC